TATAGAACACAAAATTCAAGAAATTACTGCCAAATTGTGTACCAAACTTATGACTCCAATGGAAAAGCCTCACTATTTCAATCCAGTCAAACTTCAACAGCAATTACACCCAAGAATTCCTTCAACTGTTCATACTATATATTTAATAGCAGCAAAAATCGGTCTGGAGTATCAACAAAAACCAAAATGCATTCCAGAAAATCCACCATGGTGTCTAAATAAGCATAGTATTATAGACAAATTAACCCTCTTTAAGAAAAACAATACAAATGTAACAGCCTTTATAGCGTCATTTCCTGAAACTAAAAATGTTTTCAAAGAATGGACTTTTCACTATACGGACGGCTCAAAATCGTACGCTGGTGTCACTTACGCAATAGTGAATCAAAATTTGGAAATTGAGCGCCTTGCAAGACTAGATGACTTTTGCTCAATTTTTACAGCAGAATCAGAAGCCATTTTTTATGACTTAAACAATTATAAAAATAAAAGAGGAAAACACATCGTATGTACAGATTCATTATCGTCAATCCGGGCAATACAAAATGTTGCACATCAAAATGACACAATTTTTAAAATTAGGGACATTCTTATACAATATCAACAAAAATTAAAATTGATGTGGGTCCCTAGTCACATACATATGTAGGTATCAAAGGCAACGAGTTTGCTGATGAAGCTGCTAAATTTCCATTAAACGCCCCAATACACATACAAAAAACTATAATAAAAGCTGATATAAACCACGAAATTAAACGTTACTTTTCTAAAATTAAAAATGAATTTTGGTCGAGCTATAATCATCACTAGACAAAATTTAACCCGGATGGCACACCGACAATTTTTCCAACTGATTGTGACAGAGCTACATCAAAAAATTCACAAGGCTAAGACTTGGACATACTTTAATTACGCATCAACATTTGATGGAAAGAAAAGATGTACCACTATGCATCGGCGTAGCCAGAATGAAATTTAGGGGGGGAGGGGCTCGACCCTATTAAGCTGGCATTTCAGGGTACNGGGGGGGGGGGGGGGGGAGGGCTCGAGTACCCCCCCTGCCCCTAACTGGCTACGCCCATGCCACTATGTCCTCTTTGTACCAACACAAAAATTTCAATTCAACATCTCCTTGAAGAATGTCCTGCTATAAAAGCCACACAAGAAAGTCTTCACCTTCGCAGAATTCAAACTTACTATTAAATTTTACAAAATCAAATGTATATAGTGTTATAAATATCTTAAGACGCTGTAATATATTTTATACTATTTAATTTAAAATCTTAGGCTGAAAGCCGTTTAGTTGCTAGTGCCTTAGTGTTTTAAGTTTATTTCATAATTTACTTATTAAATAAACTGTAAATAATAATAATAACTATTATTTTTATTTTTATTCTGCCCGCACTGTCACGTTCTTCATCGCCTCCTAGTGCAATATTCAGTATCTTCAAAGGACCGTCGTTTATTGCTTCATTGGCGTTGCGGTAGTAGTTTTTTTTTTTTAGATTTCGCCAGGTGCTCACTAAGTTAAAGAAGAAGCAACATCATACGTCGGTTGGAAGAAGCCTTCTGGTGTGGGTTGTGTCCACATAACTCATGTACATAAGTAGCAAAGGCAGCCGCATGAAGAATATTATAAAATAATGGTAAAGGGCATCTTTCGCCGATTGATTGAATATTCTGCTAAGTATTTAACCATGTTATTAACGTCCCTTTGGTTTTGTTGTGTTCTAATATCAAAAGTGACTGTTTCTTCAGACCTCTTACTTCGGTTTTGTAATGCATTCCTCAAAGGATCACAACTGATTTATTTTTCTCGGCATGAGCTGGTCCATTGTTTGCCGACCTGAGTATGTTGTGAGTTCGAAATTGGCAGTTTGTGGTGGTACAGCAGACCAAGTTTTTCCATCTTTGTCAGAATAGTTTCCCGGTTTCACCTGGTTTGCCGTCCTTTTCTCATATTCACTTTCGTCTTCCGGGTCATATTCTGGTGACTGGATTTCCTTAATATCGGAGTCATCTGGAGTTACATCATATTCGTTACCCTCCAGAATCTCTTCAGATGCCAAAGGCTCTGTAACTATTTTCCTCGTCTAAATCTTCTAACATCTCGCGAATGCATTCTTGCTGTTCCTCAGGATCCAGTGGAGTGAGTCATTCACCATCTTCCATTTTTACTTTTGTAAATTTTTTTCGTTGAGAAACACTGGGCAATAAAAACCCATATCTTTTCAGTCTCCAAGTTTTGCACTGGTTTTCAGCGTTGAACTACATGATGTAACAAGAAACATTACTAGAATTATTTGCATCTACTCGAAAAACCCTTTTCTCACATAAGTTTACATGTTTTGTACCTAAACAATCCTTTACGCATATACATTCAAAACCCACGATGATAAAGTGTGGTCTGAGAAACTCATTATTCATTTCATAAATCTTGTTTTACATACTTAAAATAAACATATTTTGTTAGAAAATAACAATAAATTCTTAGCCAGATTAAAAGAAATGTGTTAAATATTCACATTTTCGTCATTTCCCATACAAAATGTATGTGCATACCCGGGTATGCTACTGTTGACGTACGTATAATTTTCCTGCTGTTAACATGAAGGTTAACCAAAGTTTATCACTTTATCAAACGATTTTGGTGGATAAATGCATAAATTTCAGCCAAATTAAACCCTGACAGGTTGCCAGGTGGTCGCTTTTGCTACGAACACATAAAAAACAAATGTACACAATGTACGAGGTAAGAATGAAACGCAACTAGTCATATAAGTTAAATAATAAAAAAAAATTACGCAGTCATTTACCAAGGTGCGTTCATGTAAGAATGTTGATAAACTGATAAATTTATCCCTTTATCACTTCAGATGACCCCTATTATGTCAAAACAACTGATATCAAATATGGTCTCAACTAATAGCCCAGTTATGCATACTTAGCGTTGCATGAGAGTTGTCGCGTAAGAATCTGTTAAATGGGCTTTGCGTGTAAGCGGTTACCGAACGCATAGCACTTAACAGGTAGAATTCTGTAGGGTTTTGATTTTTACGTAAAAATGGAATAGCAGTGCAAGTATGCATAACTGGGCTATAACAGCTGTTCATTTGGTGTCAACTGCGTTTTCATTACATAATAAAAACTGATCAAATGTAGATATCGCAGTGCATATCAAAGATTGCCGTCAAATTTTGGTATCATATATACATACATATCAGGGTTGTTGCGAATATTCGCATTTGCATTCGCAACCGCGGAGCCCCCCATTAATTTTAACATTCGCTTTCGCTTCCGTAATTCGAATATTGAAGGGACCGAAAATTACAGTTATTTTTTTACTGTAGTTAAACTGGGCCAAATATGTTTTATTCCGAAATAAAAGTACTTTCCGGATAATAAACAAACCGCTTATCCAAATTAAACAAGTTTGGTATCCAATGAAGAGGACTTAAATAGCTTTAAAACTGAAATGTCTAAAAGCCACAGATTGAAAAATATTTCAATAAAAAATGTTAATTAATTACCATAGAACAAACATTGTGTCGGGTATGTATTTACATGAATTTCTTTAGTATTAAGTTATAAAAAAATATAAATAGAGGTGGTAACCTTCATTTGTAATTAAATTTAAAAGCTATTTCAGTCCTCTTTCATATTATACCAAATTTGTTTAATTTGGATAAGCGGTTTCTTTATTATCCGAATAGGACGTTTATTTTGGAATAAAAATTATTAGGCCAAATTTAACTCGGAAAAACTAACTGTTATTTTCAGTCCCTGGGATATTGTACAAGTGCACAGACGTATATCTAACCAGTCACAGAAGAAAGCATTAAAAATGAGGCACAAAAACTAAAATCGAAAAAGGCTGATGATGTGACAAATTCCGAAACAACCAAAAGAATGAGAATGAAGAATTCTTTCGAAAAAACGGTGTTTAAACAACGATTGTGCCATGATGCTAGATTGTGAAGACGAAAGTCAGGAGGAGTACATCCGACATTTGCAGACCCGATGAAATTCCCAAAAAGTAATTATTGCACCGCAATAAAAATAAATAAATATAACTGAAAGTCCTTTCAACTGGTGCAGTGTCAATCGAAAAGAATTTACAATTTTGCCAATTTCAACTTTTTCAAGTTTGTCGCCTCGAGCGAGTAGTTACATATATAGTGGCGCAGGTTTGATTTACGACACTTCAAGAAGTTTTTATTAAGTACAATCTTCCAATTTTTAAATTCAAGTACTAAAAAACATTCAGTCTTATCATGAGTTTAATTTTCCCCGAACCGGTTCACTTTTGGTTTCCAAGTACAAATTTACTATGGGCGGAATACAAATTTTCGGGTGAATTTTTTCGGGCAAAACTCAGGATAAGGCAGATTATTACAAAATTTTTAACCTTTCCATTTTTTATTTACCTAAATCACCTAATTTACCCACCTAAATTATTTCTTAAAAATACATGACATCCGCATTCGCATCCGCATCCGCATCCGCGGATGTTAGCTTTTAAACATCCGCATCCGCATCCGCGGATGTCTAAAATTCCACATTCGCAACATCCCTAATACATATGTATAATTGTGTGTATAGGGAAGGAACGTGAAATATGTAAAAATTTCTTTTGTTTCTTCAAAGGAAGAAATACATCGCTACCTAAAGGTGAAAAGGTGCCAAGTCAACTTTTTTTCAAAATTTAGTTTTAGATGCAGAATGACAGATAACGCGAACCTGCATCGATGCGGGTAATTAATATTTTTTTTATGAGAAGCTGTTTTCCATGGCACTGCCTGGGTAACGCAGCAAATTTTCTGGCGCCGATACCTTGAAGCCAGCGCCATAACCGGTATCAACGCATTAAATCAGCGCAATTGCGCCATGCAGACTTTTGGCTATATATACCAGGTTTTATGAAGTTTTTGAAAGGAAATATTAAGAAAAGATTTTCAACTTGCAGTCCGGTAAAGTAATACACAAAATACATAATTTCTTTACATTGCCAAAGCAATGGATAATTTGAAAAACATAACCACCGCATCGTGGTTGTGAAAATATCGGCATGCCGTGAAAAAATCTTAAGAAAACCACTCACAGCTGGGAAAAGGAGGTAGCTGAGTATAACATCACACTAGGGGTATTCTCGAAGTCTTGCACGATGCACGGATTGCACGAAATGCAAAAATACTATTCCAAATTTCGAAGAGTACGAGAACACCCCATTGCAAAGTGGTAGCATGCATGGGGAGCAAGCAGCGAAATTATGTATCAAATACAATAACAAGAGACAGCAAAAAAAAATTAAGTGAGCGAGATGAGAGGAATGAGAGAAATATGTAGCAATTCCAACAACAAAACAACTAGCACAGGGTCGCTATTATCTTGCTATGCTATTTTGCAAAATATATACATGGGTTTCGACGTTGCATATTTTGCAGCGATAGGAAATGTTGTTTCCCATGAATTTTCTTGTTGTGTGTTTGCAATTTATGCAATCCGTGCAATCCGTGCTACGTGCAATGGCTTTGCAAGATTTGGAGAATACCCCTATTGAGTTTTTAAAAATGCAATGCAAATCGGATATTATTCAAGCGAGTGTGCTAAGCTCCCAGACGTTTGTGCGAGTAGTAGAAGATGGTGTTTTAGAAACGACGAATGTGCTAAAAATGTTGACTTCCTTGCTGCCCAACTCAGGTAAGTTAATGTTCTTGTATTGTTCTTCTTTTGTCAAAAGTGTATAACATTTCTTGTGCATATAACTCCGGCTCCGGTATCCACAGAATTTTCGCACTTAACTCCTTTCGAGTAGGCGGCCTTCGGCCGCGGTTTGGGATTATAATCCATACTAAGTAAAATTCTCCTTTCTGTGTTGCCGGAGAAGAAGGGCAGACACCGCTTCTTTTGTCAAGGGTATATAAAATGTCCAGTGCAAGCGAAAAAACGCCAGTGAAAATTGTGATTTTGGGCAATTTTTCTAAGAAACCTGAAATATATATAGAATTTTTCTTGAATTTCTTTTTTTGTATGATGCAATTAAAATGTTTCATTATTGGCATGACAATAATTGGCAGGACATAATCTATGTCCATATTCAGTAATTCGAAAGCTTTATTAGTATAATCCGGTTCAAGGCCGATCTTCCTTTATGTAAGCTATAATCCACAGACGTTGCCCAATTCAAAGACTATTTGGACTGGCTTGCTATCATTAAGCAAAGCAAATCTCGCGGAGTAATTTTAACTCTTCCACAACATCCTTGCTCACAAGCATACTACTAATTGAAGCTATAGACCACTGCCTTACGTTTTATATCCAAATTTTGNTTTTTTGTATGATGCAATTAAAATGTTTCATTATTGGCATGACAAAAACCAATAATCTATGTCCATATTCAGTAATTCGAAAGCTTTATTAGTATAATCCGGTTCAACCTTAGGGCCAGTTTAATTTTGGATTAAGTAAACTGAGTTTAAATTGAACAGCTGGCTGACATTTGATTGGCTGATCTTAGTTAAAACCAGCCAGATCGGCCGTTTAAAGTTAGTTTAAACCACGGCCGTGCACTGAAAAACTGGGCCTTAGTAGATCAGAAATCAGTTTGCTTTAGATTTTCGATCCCGCCACTTACACTAACTTATGCACTTGTATGTATATACTTATTTATTATTAAAATATTTAGTCCGATAAAGTACACCACGATCACCGAAGGAATTGTCAGCATACCATTACTTGGAAGCGCAATCTTTCAAAATCAATTTGGTTTGAAAACGCAACATCCCATTATACCGTTATTACAAAATCAATCGGTAAACATAAATGACGTGGCCCACAAAATTGTCGGTATTTTCAATCATCATGATCAGCAGTAGGTTACCTGTAATATTCCTTAATAATATTTTTCATTCAAATTCCTCATTTCTTACAGAAGAAAGGAGCACAGACGTTGCCCAATTCAAAGACTATTTGGACTGGCTTGCTATCATTAAGCAAAGCAAATCTCGCGGAGTAATTTTAACTCTTCCACAACATCCTTGTTCACAAGCATACTACTAATTGAAGCTATAGAACACTGCCTTACGTTTTATATTCAAAATTTCTTGGCGTTTCAATACAACAAAATAATAATAAAATAATAAAAAATGTCATCTAATAAGAAGAGTGACGTGTGGTTGCACTTCTCGGAGGAGAAGGATAAGAAGGTTAAGTGTAAGTTGTGTGGTCAGCAGTTGTCGGTGTCAAATAAATCGACTTGCGGCCTTATTCGTCACATGAACAGACGACACCAGTTCCAGAGAATCTCTAGACAGGCGCAACCTGTAGAAGAAGTACTTCTTGACATCGAAGGCAGTGAGCTCAACAACAACATCAGTGAAGTCAACAACAACATCAGTGAAGTCAACAACAACACCAGTGCAGTCAACAACCATAACCCCCATCAGCTCAACAATAGCACAGTAACACCGCAGGTCCCTGCTCAGATCCGACCACGGGCATTAAACGCATCGCAGCCACAAGTAACAAACTTTTTATATAAACCTCTTCCAATAAAGAAGCAGCGCGAAATCGATCAACAGGTATTAAAAATGATAGTCCGTGAATATCATCCTTTCAGTGTAGTAGAAGACATAGAATTTAAGAAGTTGGTGTTTCTCTTGAATTCCAATTACAAGCTTCCAAGCCGAAAAACCATTTCTTCCTCATTGATTCCTGCCACATACAACGAAACAGTAGAAATTGTTAAAAAGCGGTTAGAGAGAGCTTATGCCATATGCTTAACTATGGACGGGTGGACTTCTCGTGCTCAAGACAGCTTTTTCAGCGTTACCGCTCATTATGTTGTAGAAAAAGAAAAAAGAACATTTCTTGCGTCGGACTTACTAGCTTTTGGTGCTTATGCGGAAAGGCACACTGGCGAAAACATTACAAAAAAAATGATTGAAATTTTTAATGAGTGGGGAATTTATAACAAAATTACTGTTGTGGTAACTGACAATGCTGCGAATATGAAAGCAGCGGTGCGCGGGGGAGGCTGGCGCCATTGGGGTTGCTTTGCACATTCCTTAAATCTAGTTGCACAAGCAGGATTAAAGGAAATAGAACCTGTTTTATGTAAAGTTAAATCAAGGTTTTTTTCAAAGAGTAGTCATGCTCATTCAAAACTTAAAGCTACGTTAGAATCAATGCACCAACCAGTTTTAAAGCTCGTCAACGATGTACCTGCATNAATGCACCAACCAGTTTTAAAGCTCATCAACGATGTACCTACACGGTGGAATTCCACTTATGAGATGCTAAAACGATTTTTAGTTCTTAAGGATGCAGTTATTACCACTTTAGCTTTGGTAAAATCGTCTATGCCGGTCAGAGACGAAGAATTACGTACAATTAATCTCTTAACTAGCGAGGATTGGTTAGTAGCAGAGCAATCTATGAAAATTATGGAAATGTTTGAAATTATTACTACTTTAATAAGTGTCGAAAAGCACATTAGTGCATCATCCTTAATATTGTATATAAACAATTGNACCACTTTAGCTTTGGTAAAATCGTCTATGCCGGTCAGAGACGAAGAATTACGTACAATTAATCTCTTAACTAGCGAGGATTGGTTAGTAGCAGAGCAATCTATGAAAATTATGGAAATGTTTGAAATTATTACTACTTTAATAAGTGTCGAAAAGCACATTAGTGCATCATCCTTAATATTGTATATAAAACAATTAACCAAGCATTTGAAATCATTTAATATTGCGGAACTAACTCCCTCTGTAGAAAAGCTATTAACTAGACTATTAAGTGAACTGAATGAAAGGTTTAAAGATATTGAACTAAATTAATTTATTGCGCAAGCAACAATTTTGGATCCAAGATTCAAAAAATTTGGTTTCATAAACGAAACGGCTTATAATTCGAATATTCAAAAATTATACTCGAGAGTAGCTAACACAGTTGTTCAAAACTGCGAAAATTTTGTTAGGGATGAAAATCCCAATCAATGCAATTCGGTTGTAGGCGGGATAAATAGCGATCGATTAGAATTAATATGGAAGGATTTTGACGCTGAAGTTCCGAAGCACACAAGGCCAGGAAATCAGATAGCATCTGCAATTGTAGAAGTAGATAAATACTTGTCAGAGCCTGTCTTACAGCGGAAAGATTCTTCCGGAAAGCCTAATGATCCACTGGTGTGGTGGCATAAAAGAAAACATATTTATCCCCGATTGTACCAGCTTGTCAAAAAACGACTGTGTATTTCCGCAACATCTGTTCCTTGTGAACGTATATTTTCACACGCTGGGCAACTTGTTAGCGAAAAACGCGAGAGCCTGAAATCAAGTAAAGTATCTCAAATTGTTTTTTTAAACTATAACTTAGGTAACAATGATTTTTAAACAACTTCCTGATCTTTTATCAAACTGAAAATTTTAATTCATGATCTCTGATGTATATGTATACGCGAAATTAATTGAAAATACACTAAAAAGCATATAAATTCAAAATGAATTTAATTCATGATCTCTGATGTATATGTATAAGCGAAATTAATTGAAAATACACTAAAAAGCATATAAATTCAAAATGAATTTAATTCATTATCTCTGATGTATATGTATAAGCGAAATTAATTGGAAAATACGCTAAAAAGCATATAATGCAAAATGAATTTAATTCATGATCTCTGATGTATATGTATAAGCGAAATTAATTGAAAATATACTAAAAACTAAATAAATTCTGTGCTTGAAAAAATAAAACCTTCGTTGCATTTATCTGGGTTTTAGAAGAGCAGGAGTTTTGAAAGGCCAGGGCTGAAACCAACGATTTTTATTTGCTTTATTCATTTATTATTCCTTTCATTTATATTTCCTTTGTAGATGTTTTCGAAACTATACAAAATTTGACTACTTTTTCCCTGCTTACATATGTGTTCTCAAAAGTTGCAAAATTTGTGTAAAAAGTTAAGCGATTTCAACGACATTATACTCGAAAGAAAGGTAATCGATTTACCTTTCTTTTCATGTATATTAAAAGTTAAAAATTAATTATTAGGGTTTACAAAAATTTAGGTTTCTTACAACTATGCAAAATTTTACGACTTTTTCCCTGCTTACATATATGTGTTCTCAAAAGTTGCAAAACTTGTGTAAAAAAGTTAAGCGATTTCAACGACATTATAATCGAAAGAAAGGTAATCGATTTACCTTTCTTTTCATGTATATTAAAAGTTAAAAATTAATTATTAGGGTTTACAAAAATTTAGGTTTCTTACAACTATGCAAAATTTTACGACTTTTTCCCTGCTTACATATATGTGTTCTCAAAAGTTGCAAAATTTGTGTAAAAAAGTTAAGCGATTTCCACGACATTACAATCGAAAGAAAGGTAATCGATTTACCCTTCTTTTGATGTATATTAAAAGTTAAAAGTTAATTATTAGGGTTTACAAAAATTTAGTTTTCTTACATCCTTGCAAAATTTGATAAATTTTTTCTATGTATATGTATAGGTAGATATACATCCATACACAACTATTGACTATTAAACTAGATTTCACAATTTCCACGCCAGTAGGGAAATATTTAATCGTTGTTACGGCGGTATTTACGCGTATATCAAAGCTATTGTGTAATTGCCGATGAACTCGTAATCATCATCTTAATCCCAATGCTTAAGGGATAGATTACTGAGAGGTGTGGCATTGGGGAACTTNCTGAGAGGTGTGGCATTGGCGAACTCCAGATTCGCAAAGTGCCAGTCCAGTATTTGACGATCCTTAGAGTAGACGTAAACATCACTAGGGAAAGTATTAGGAACATTAGTTTGCAAAAGCGAAAATTTAAATTATTGCACATACCTAGGAGGGTTGCTTTCAATTTCCTTCAATTTAGCTTGCAGTGCCTTTTCTTCTTTGATAAGTTCATCATACTCCTTACAGGCTTTGGTCGTGTGGAACGTGTTTCAAACTCGAAACACCGAATTGCTAAGCTGTTGGGCAGCCGCTAACCCTGATGCCTCCAATTACTATAACTTTGCCCAACTTCTTTGTAGGTATGGGACGTAAACGTTTCAAAATGCCAAAGTTAATAAAACCATGTCGCTCCAGGAACGAATATACGCGCTATCGAATGGTGGCTCCATATCTTTTATAGCGTTTTCTACAATAAGCTGCTTTAGATTCTCGATTCACATTTGCAAAAGGGTAGTAATTGACATTTTCTTCTCCATTTTACACAACACACTTTTATATTTCTATTGCTTTACGAAGATTTATATCTTTTAGGCATATTGACAGCTGTTTTCAAATTGCCAACTCATTCTTCTTCCCCATCATCTTTGTTTACCTTTTTTAGATGCGCAAACGATTGCTAGATTGCTTCTATATGTCATTTGTGTCCAGTGTGCGTAAGCTCATCGTTATTGGCGTTACTGGCGCCAGTGCGCCACAAGATTGCAAATTAGTGTATCAGCACCAGTAGCGCCACCGTCGGTATCAATGCAATGACGCAACGCCGCGCTGCGTTACCCAGGCCTACATGGCAGAAATACACTCGGAAATTTGCCATTGCCTGCCGAGGGGCGACCGCTCTTAGAAAAAACCTTTTTTGGTTTGAGGTTTGATTGAATAGGGCTTGAATCCAGGCCCTGTTTCATTGTTTCGTTTGAGTTAATTCTTTTGGTGCGAATCCATAATCCGGGCCTAATCGGGTTGTCGCTGTAAACAATTTTTGAGGTTTAACATGAAAAAGGGCGATTGCATGCAATAGGCTTGAAATGATTCCGTTAGATTTAATTGACAAAGTATAATGTTTCATAACGCTGAACTACAAAAAGTTGACAGTGTATACTTTTACAAAACGCATCGGGAAAGTTACCGAAACGTATCAGCGCATTAATAGCAAAGTCGGTGTTTCATTTGCTTTTGTATTGGTACGTATTGGAAGTCAGCCTAATTCTAGACTCTATGATATAAAATCTGTGGATATAATGGTCACTTTTCTTTCATTAGGAAATTCAAACTATCTAACGCGCATTGAAATTCGATATCGTCTACTGAGATTTAAAATTTTTACTGACACTAATTCGAGATCGATTTTAAGTGATCGATTTCATCAATTTGTAAAAAACCTGGATCACTTTTCACATATTTCATATTTTTCCGAGTCTGTTACATGCGCCCCACGTTTTTCATTTTAAATCTCGTAAATATATCGATATGCGGGGTAAATGCGCAGCAAGAAACATGAAGAAATTTGCAGTGTAAGCTCATTGCGTTGGCGCATGGCATCCACTCGTGGAGCTGCAAAAAGCGTGGCATTATGCAAACGCGTACTTGTTGCACATGACAGCACAACAACATATTTGTGTGTTTGCAAGAAACGTATGTTTTCGTCTGGTCGTGTCTGTCTGTTAAAACGGCTGCTGACTGGCTGCCGCAGAGGCACTAAAGCAACTTGTTCATATACATTCATACGGATGGATGGTATGTATGTATGTATATACTTAAGTGCGGGCATTTGCGGTGCCACCCCAACTTGGCGTTTACTCCTGCACAATCGTAATACGAACGGCTCTAAGCTGTTCATAATGATGTGGCATAGAATGCAAGAACAACAATTGCGGCCAATGTAGAACAAAGAACGAAACAAGGAGGGACAGAAAAGAGAGTAAAGTCGAACGCGCCAAGTCCTATAATTAAACAATTATTGCAACTCCCACTTTTTGCTTGTGGGCATTGGTTAGGACAGTCCTTACGCTATGTGCGCTACTCCTCCTTTTCGGGATCAGAGAAGCGCGATCACAACAGAGACCAAAACTACGTCTACGACATCGATTAAGCGTTGCACCACAATGACGGGCACATCAGAATTTAACAAATCTGGCACAGACATGTGGTAACAGCCCCTGAACGACCTGCGTCTCCTTCACAGACTTATTTGACAAACCGACCTGACCCGACGCTACGCCTGAATCTCAAACCCAAATTGAACATTAGCACAAAATCACGGCCCCTCCCCCTGTTGCCATTAAATGAACCTTGATGTTTGGCTCTTCCATGCCACAGCCTCAGTCAGCACGCAAAAATATGCATACTTGTGGTTATGTGCACAAAAAGGTAA